TTGTTTGTTTTTATTTTTCCAGACAGAGTTTCTCTGTATAGCCTTGGTTGTCCTGGAACTCACTCTGTAGACCAGGCTGGCCTCGAACTCAGAAATTCTCCTGCCTCTGCCTCCCAAGTGCTGGGATTAAAGGCGTGCGCCACCACTGCCCTGCATGAAGAGTCTTTCAACAGCTTTGCAGCTCCAGAGGTGGTCACAGGGCTCAGAAAACAACAATGGAGAGGAAGAAGGGAACAGCCTGCAGTAGAGGGGAGAGCTCTGGTTGGGACAAGACTCCTGCTTAATTTTCAAACTGGCTCTGAAGGCTTCCTTGAAATTCTCGCCAGGGGAAAGAGAGTATGATGGAGAACAGGATCTGCTCTTTGCCAACTTCCCAGTCTCCAGGGACACCAGCACAGCTTTACTTAGGGAAGAAAGAAGTTCTGTGGGAGGAAGATGAAGATGCTAAGTCTAAGGATGGGCTCTTTGTCCTCTGTGTCTTAGACCTGGACAGTCCTGAGGAGCAGGAAGAGGACTACAAGAAGGGACATGGCTGTCTGGATGGTGTTAACTATATAAACTGAACACTGTGAAAAGGTCACACTGTGGTTCAGACTCTTGGGCATCAGACAAAAATCAACAAACTCATCCTGCCCTGCGTTGGCAGCTGTCCTGCAGACACCACATTCAAACATGGTTGAGTTTGGAAAGACACGCTTAAGTGCCTTTTTTGCTTAAGAAGTCAGTTTCTGTATGAGTGTATGTATCTGTATATGCATATCACGTGTGTTTGTAGATATTTTTATGTACATATCTATGTTGTCTGTGTGCATATATTGAATGTGGGTATAGCCACAGCTTTAACACCTGTACTTTGCTGGGGTCAGATGCAGACTTAGGAATACATTTCTGAGCCGGGCAGTGGTGTCACACTCCTTTAATCCCAGCACTTGGGAGGCAGAGGTAGGTGGATTTCTGAGTTCGAGGCCAGCCTGGTCTACAGAGTGAGTTCCAGGACAGCCAGGGCTACACAGAGAAACCCTGCCTCGAAAAAAAACAAAACAAAACAAAACAAAAAAAAAAGGAATACATCTGAAAGATGGGGAAGTTAAGAATGTATGAGAAAAAAATGAACCCCTCCCTCCAGGGTGTCCTTGAAGTCTTCTACCTGCTAAGAGTTGAAAAATTCAATACAAATAATAACACATGTTGATACAAGATTATCTCCATAGAGACAATATTCCTTTTATGTAGAGATATTAAAATATTTTTTAAAAAACCATTTTAATAGCAACAGACCGTGCTTAAGGACTAAAAGTATATGATCTTCATGAATGACCTTCGTTCCTTTCCCAGATATTAACCTACAATTTCTGGGAATGTGTGAGCAGACATGAAAACAGTAAAAATGTCTCAGCTCCCTTGTGCAAACCTCCTGACTTGTGGTTTTCCCTGATCAGCCTGGAATCATACCCAGTGTATCTCAGAAGCTACCCTGTGATCTCACTGGAAAAAAAAAAATAGAGACATACAGGGAGAGTGACTTAGAAACCCTTTCAACAATGTAACTTCAAAGGCCAGCAAAATGTGACTGTTGGACAGCCCACGCTTGGGCGTGTACTATCCTTTCCCTAACTGCTTTGTCTATGAGATCTCAGAGGGGGCTTCCCTAGAGGAGATCAGCCACGCTTGATTGTTGACATCCTAACTTGTACCTTCCCTTAACTGCTAAACTGACAACCCCGGGGCAGGATATGACAATAGGATTAACATTCTACCAGCAGCCATGTATCCACTAATCTGCTAAACTCAGAGACACATCCCCATAGGCTCAGAGACCCTCCCCTCTAAAGTCTATAAGCATAAGGAACTGCTTTGTTCTTCCAGTTCTCTTTACCAAACCTGAAGAGAATCTTCATTATTTCAAAACATTCTCAACTAATGTCTATGTTTAAATCCACATTTAAAATCTTTTCTTAATAAATTGAAACTGGTGGGGAGTGGGGGCTGATGGAGGCTGGAGAGATGGCTCAGCAGTTAAAATGAGATGGCTGCTCACTCTTCCAGAGGACCCGGGTTCAAATCCCGGCACTCACATGGCAGCTCAAAATTGTCTGTAACTCCAGTTCCAGGGAATCTAACATCCTCACACAGACATACATTCAGGCATGCGAAATGAAAATAAGTAAATTATTAAAAATAAAAATAAACAAACTGTTTCATATTCATCCTGCAGTTCTTTTCTGGGATGCTGTCAAGAATCTTAGTGTCACTTGAGTAAAGATCTCTGAAAAGAACTAAAGCCAGGCAGTGGTGGCGCATGCCTTTAATCCCAGCACTTGGGAGGCAGAGGCAGGAGGATTTCTGAGTTCGAGGCCAGCCTGATCTACAGAGTGAGTTCCAGGACAGCCAGTGCTACACAGAGAAACCTTGACTCGAAAAACCTAAAAAAAAAAAAAAAAAAAAAAAAAAGAACTCAAGCTGAATTTGGGAGCTGGCTCAGTGGGTAAGAGCCATTTGCTGTGCAAACATGAGGTCTTGAGTTTGAACCCACGGCACTGACATTGAAAACTAGGCATATCTATGAGTGCTTATAAGCCCCACAAGGGAGTGTGTGAGACAGGAAGAGCCTAAGAATCTTCTAGTCAGCTTGACTATCAGCCAAAAAGGGAGGGCTTCTTGCTCACTAAGAGACCCTATCTCAAAGCAATAAGGCATACACACACACACACACACACACACACACACACACACACACAAAGAACACATAAAATTCCCTTCGGGCCTCACATACATCCATCCTCATGGATACACACACCTGTACACTCACGTGCAAGTGAGTGTACTCCCTACTCCTGCCCCACTAAAGTGCTCACAGATGCATGGAGCTGTTTCCTGCCACTGCTGCTGCTCAGATCTCCACACAGATGTGACCAGATGTCTTGTGTTCAGTGGACCCAAGACAGGCCAACCAGATATCCTATGAGAATCGCAGATAGGAGTCCCTAACCATTTTACAACAATGTGATCTTTTTTTTTTTTTTTAAAGATTTGTTTATTTCTTTTATGAGTACACTGTTGCTCTCTTCAGACACACCAGAAGAGGACATCAGATCCCATTACAGATGGTTGTGAGCCACCATGTGGTTGCTAGGAATTGAACTCAGGACCTCTGGAAGAGCAGTCAGTGCTCTTAACCCCTGAGCCATCTCTCCAGCCCCCAACAATGTGATCTTGAGGAGACTTGAGACAGCCATTTCTTTTTATTCTTTTAATTGGATATTTTATTTATTTACATTTCAAATGTTATCCCCTTTCCTGTTTCCTCTCCAAAAACCCCTTATCTTATCCCCCTCCCCCTGCTTCTATGAGGGTGCTCACACACCCACACACCCATCCACTCCCACCTCCCTGCCCTGGCATTACCCTACACTGGGGCATCCAGCCTTCACAGGACCAAGGGCCTCTTCTTACATTGATGCCAGATAAGACCATCCTCTGCTACATACGTAACTGGAGCCATGGGTCCCTCCATGTGTACCCTTTGGTTGGTGGTTTGGTCCCTGCTCACAGACTATATGAAGTTCAAGAGGAAGGAAGACCAAAGTGTGGATGCTTCAGTCCTTCTCAGAAGGGGAACAAACTAATCACAAGAAGTAGAGGGTGGGAGGAACTTGGGAAGAAGAGAGGAGGGGAGGGGAAGGGGGAGCAAGATCAGGTATGGGAGGAGACAGGGATGATATACAGAGTGTCAGGAAACTGGACAGAGGTGTATAGCAATAAGGGATGGGGAACTGGGGGTATCCACCAGAAAGTCCCAGATGCCAGGAAAGCAAGAGGCTCCCAGGACCCAACAGGGATGACATTAGCTGAAATACCCAACAAAGGGGAGAGAGAACCTGCTGAGACTATATCCAAATGTTAGGACCCTGGTTGGGGGGTGGGGCTACCCATTCATCTCCAAATTTTTAACTTAAAATTGCTCCTGTCTAAAGGAAATACAGGGACCAAGTGTGGAGCAGAGACTGAAAGAAAGGCCATCCAGAGACTGCCCCACCTGGGGATCCATCCATCCCATATACAAACACCAAACCTAGACACTATTGCGGATGCCAAGAAGTGCTTGCTGACAGGAGCCTAACACAGCTGTCTCCTGAGAGACTCTGCCAGAGCCTGACAATACAGATGCAGATGCTCACAGCGAGTTGTTGGACTGAGCACGGGACCCCAATGGAGGAGTTAGAGAAAGGACTGAAGGAGCTGAAGGGGTTTGCAACCTCATAGGAAGAACAATAATATCAACCAACCAGACCCGCTAAAACTCCCAGAGACACCAATTTCTAAGAAGAGTCTAAGCAAACCCCTGCATAGAAAGGCACTGTAGGGACTGAGACTCTGCCAGAAAGACACTAGACCCTGGATTTTGGGAGCACCAGGCTCCCATTCCCAGAAGCCACTATACCCTGCCCCGGGGCTCTTTGGAAGTCCAAGCAGGGTTTCCTCATCCCAAGTTCTTCATTACCTAAATCCATTGACCATTAAAACCCATTACTTACAGAAGACCTAAACCAGGCCTGCCTGTTGCAGCAGAACCTCTTTTGCTGTGGGTAATCTGAGTATGAATTTGTTCTATAGTAACAGGAGAAACCTGATTCTGGCTTTCCACCTGAAAAGGTGACTTCCTTTTCCAGGTTTTCAATATGTCCTGTGTTCCCTGACTTGAGCTCCAACATTCCCTATGTGTGTGTCAATTGAAAGATGGCTGTAGAAGTTGCAAAAAGGCCCTATCTTATTTGTAGAAGTTCCTGGCAATCTCATAGTCATAATGCTATCTCTCCCCACTATCTTCCAGAACCCCTCACCCATTGTGCATTGGCTGGGCACCTGACAAGCTCACTTGCTCCTATGCTGCCCAGGCCCCATTATCTACCCCATCCCCCACCCCTAAGCTCTAGCCATGCAACCAGCCACCACAGCCTATCACTGCCACTGTTCCCTGGATGGCCTCAAAGGAGTCTCACCTTGCCCAGCTTACTCAGCTGGCCTGCTGGGGACTGGTCTCTGGGGATCAGTCCTCTGTGCACCTGTGGACAGCCTTTCCCCGTGTAATTTTTGCAGATCAGACAGAGAGGAAACTTACTCCACCTACTCTTGGCATCTCCCCAGGTCTGAGCATAGCCCAAAACTAGTGTTCCGCAAATGCTGGTTGAACTGAAACCCACTGTGGTTGCTGTTCTTGCTTCTTGTTCCCACACTTAGCTCCTAGTCTTAAGTAAGGAAACTGAAGAGCCAGTCCGAGGTGGGGGGAGGGGAGGAAGCCCTGGTGTGGTCACCCATCTGATCAGCACCAAAGCTTTCCAGTGGCCCTTCCTTACCTGCCTCTTGTGTTTCCTTCTGTGGACATCTTACCAAGACACAGGTATAACTTATTTAGATTCAAATCTAGAGGAAAGACTGACTGGAGCACCTAGAGGAGGGTATTTTAGCACTGAGAGAGAAGGTGCAAAAGAAGAGCAGGGAGATCTGGCGCTGGGAGCATGCACAACCACACACACACACACACACCGAGATAACACACTTCCACCCGGAGGGAGAGTATCTAGAGTGTCCATCCAGTGACTCCTCTGGCCTCCAACAGATACCTCCTCTCTGTCTTGGACTGAGCCTTGGGGAGAGAATCATGGGAAGAGATGTTTCTGGATGTCCCGAGTATGAAATGCAGGAACAGAATGTCAAGTGGAATGGAGAATGCACACTAGCAGGCATGGACAGCCATCCTGCTACAGATAACTGACTGAAGATTTCAGGCTTATTCTCCTAATAGGAAGTTTGCCTGGTAGCGTCTAACTCCTCTGCCTTCTCCTGTCCCCTCTTCAGAAACTTGAGCCTGAAATGGCAAAGGGGCCACTGAGGGCTGACACTGAGGCAGAGGGGGAAGCAACGTGTGGGCTAAGTCACTCTTGATAAGGTAGTCTCCTCCTCAAGGCTGCTGGGCACAAGAGAGTGGGAGAACCCAGAGATGCTAATCCTGTCCTCCATCTGCTACCAGCGCTTCCATGGCCCATGTAGCCATGGCTGTAGGTACACAGAGACCGTCTCTGATCGCCAGGCCCCTGTGCTTACAACGACTCTACTTCAGCTGTCTTAGCGCATCTCTGGGCCTTCCTTGTGATGCAATAGCTACAAAAGCCTGCTCCACCCTCAAGGAGTAAGAAGATGTTTGTGCCAGGAAAACAGTCTATTCTCTAGCTGGCCATGGTGACAGTCACAGGTCTCCCCTAGCTCTGAAGAAGGTTGAAAGAGAAGAGAGCCCAGCTCCCAGACTCTGGGACTACGGGCCATCATGTCTGTGAGCAGAACGTTGATATATTACTACAGGTAGACAAAGCAGGGGCTAACAGCAAACAGAAGGTTCTCGGACCTGGAGATGCTGTTGGGGCAACCTGTTGGGGTTGACAGCGCCATGAAGTACATAGGAACACCCATGCCCCAAGGGAGGAGTGTGCTCACTTCTGCGTGTGATATCCAGGTCAGCTCTCACGGGAGTGCTCTGGTGGACCTTTGATAGTGTCACTGTGGCCTTGTACGATCAAACAGAATCCTGCCTTACTCTGTTGTTTGCTCCCACCCTAGAGTGACTTCCTGAAGTCACTGGGTGATCGATCACCTGACACCTGCCAGGGACTTCCTGAGTGACCCCAGGAATAGAGACAGAGAGGCAACCCTGGCTGTGGGGTGGGAATAAGGAAGCTAAGAAGTGAAACTGGGACAGGCTGACTTCCAGGAAGCTAGGGCACTGTGACACTTCAGCCATGCCATTGGAGAGGGGGTGTTGGCCCTGTGTGCCTTCCCATTTGAAATGCCTGTGCATAAAGTAAGTGATAACATTGCCATGGGCCCCATGCAGTGCCAGCATTAGCCTTCGGTTGGGTCCTAATCTTTTTAGAACACTCCCTGGCCAGCCTTCTCCTTCTCCAGATGCTCCTGGGAAATACTGGCAGTCCACATAGCTGTGTCAGTCCATGGGCTCAGTCAAAGCCCAAGAGTATGAGAGCTTGTGAAGAATAGTGCCCTGCCCAGGTTTGCTGGCCCCTCCATAGATGACACTGGGAGGTGCTTTCTTCAGTTGTGCTGAGAAATGAAACCTTGCCTAACCCCGGGAAACCACAAGAAGAGAAAAACATGCAAGGCCACTATACTGCAGCTGGCGTCTTGGGGCCCCGCCTCCTTCTTATTGTCAGGCAGGCAGGGCTGGCAGGTTTGTGTTAAACACAAGAGTTTACCGGGATGGCATCTGTTCCAAGTTCCCTGAAGACCCACCTCTGTCCAGAACAGTGGTGTTTACTTAAGGCAGTGGGACATGGGCTCTTTGTCATTCTGTTCTGATCTCTGAGGTAAACTTAGCTGGGCTGAACTGAACACTCTCTGGCACCCTACCTGACCCAGAGCTGAGGACAGATAGGTGCAGGTTCCCTTCGCTGTGCACCTTTGAGGGGCTCTCTATGTATCAGGGACCACACTGCTGCTGCTGAGTGGCTCCCAGCTGCCACAGCAGACATGCCAAGACAAGTTTGTGAGGGTGTTGCTATGAAAAGGGCACGAGAGGCTTCAGGGATCTAGAAAAGGCTGAGTGCTTTCTGTAGATGTGTGTGTTTTAAGCCAGGTGTTTGGGGGTTGAGACAGAGACAGAGGGAATGGTTATAGAGTAAAACAGAATTTATTATCATTTATTCTGCGTGCACAGGTCTTTCCCAGGGATACCCCAAACACTAAATTACTAGCCAAAGGTCCAGATATACAGGTACAAACAGACATGCAGATACTAATACAGCCACACAGATAAACAGACACGTGGATGCATGCATAAACTCACACATAGACATATTCATAGACAGTCTCCCCTCTTATACACACATACACACATATACACATAGACATACATGCAGACACCCACATACACACACTCTCTCACATACACATGCACACTCAGGCACACACATACACACAAATGCACATGCATGCACACATGCACATAAACATACACACAGACACGCATACACATTCTCTCTCACACACACATACACACACTTTCACACACACATGCATGTAGACATACACACAGACACACACACTCTCACACACACATGCACATAGACATACACACAGACACACACAGATTCTCTCTCTCTCTCTCTCTCTCTCTCTCACACACACACACACACACACAAACACACACACACCAGCCTAACCTCCCAGACTTCGGCCTATGCCTCATTTCACAAGCTATCTATTGTTCTGCCTGTTCTGGCATCATGTCCTGTCCATAGAACCGTTTGAGTCTCTGACATATCCTTGAGGGTGGTGGCCCTGAGATTCCTGGCCAGAGTCTGAGGTAAACAACCCAGATCACAACCCTCCTCCCATTCTCTTTGCTACCTGCTAGAAAGTTCGAGCCTCTGAGGACCTAGCTGCCAGCCCGTTACAGGCTTAGGCAGCCATGCCAGCAGAAGCTCAACAGATGCTTGCCCTCTGGCAGATGACTCCTGAGGACAAGATGCTTCTAAGGGCTGAGCCACTCCTGAAAAAGTTTTCTCATAGCAAGTAAAGGCTAAAAAAGAAACAAATTGTAAGAGTGTCAAGGTAAAGGCTTGCTCCTGGGACCTCCTTCCTGTGTCCAGAGCCTCACCGACAGCAAGCAGGCACACCTGGTCACCTTCAAGGCTGTGGCCTTCACTAGGAGAGTCTTAATCAGTGGTTCTCAACCTGTGGGTCAAGACCCCTTTGGGTCGAATGACCCTTTTACAGGGGTCACCTAAAACCCTCAAACAAAAAGCATATATTTACATTATGACTAGTGGCAGTGGCAAAATTGATTACAAAGTACCAACAAAAAATGATTCTATGGTTGAGGGTCAGCACGACATGAGGAACTGAATTAAAAAGTTGCAGCGTTAGGAGGGTGAAGGACTGCTGGTCTAAATAGAAGAAAGACATAGACAGGGATGGGTCAACCCTCACTGAGACATGCCCAGTTACAGCAAGGATGAGAGGTCAATGCTGGTCTCTTGCCTCTGGTCAGCAGTGAAAGGTTCTGTAATAAGCAGACCAGGGGGAAGTGAACTGAGCAGGAAGTAAGGAAGAAGAAACTTCCCAGGCCAGGGAAAGATGCTGAAGTGCAATAGAGTGGATGGACTCTATCGTTCTCATCTCTGATGTCCACGTTACCCTGGCATACTCATGGGGTACAGTGGCTTGTTTCCTTACATGATAGAATGTATGCCGAGCAAACCAGAGCATAGCCACCACTTTAGACATTCACAACAACCAGGACACACAGCCAGCCCAATTATTCATGGCCCAAGGAAGAGAATATAGTGCATTCATACGGTGGACTACTCTCCAGCTATAGCAAAGAATAAGATCCTGCTACTTGTATAACATGGACAGAACTGGAGGTCACTATGATAAATGAAATCAGCCAGACACAGAGACGCAAATACCACATGCGCTCACTCTGATACAGAACATTACAAAGATCTCAAAGAAACAGATTGTGGAATGGTGGCTATCAGAAGCTGGGAAGGGAGAATAAGTAACAAAATGGTGTTAGATAAGAGAAATAAGTTAGGGTGTCCTGTGGCACCAAAGGAGAATGTGACTACTAACATTGTCAACCTGATTTAATCTAAAGTCATCTAGTGGATAGGCCCTTTGGCATGACTGAGAGGAGTTATCTTGATTGCATTGACTGAGATGGGTCCACTGTGGGTGGCACCATTCCCTAGCTGGACTGATAATTGCAGAAAGGGATGAATACAGTCATTACCCTCTGTTCTCAATTGTGAAAATGATATGACCAGCTGCTTCAAGTTCCTGCCACCCTGATTACCATCAAAGACTGTACCTGTGATATGTACCTTTGAATATGCTTGGCCCAGGGAGTAGTATTATTAGGTGTGACCCTGTTGGAGTAGGTGTGACCTTGTTGGAGTAGGTGTGTCACTGTGGGTGTAGGCTTAAGACCCTCCTCCTAACTGCCCAGAAGTCAGTGTTCCACTAGCAGCCTTCAGATAAAGATGTAGAATTCTCAGCTCT